AAGATGCGAGGTCAAAACTGCAGTCCACCCTGGATGAGAACAAATTTCGGAAAAGCAAGGCTATGTGAAATTCAATGGAAACGTCAGCTCAACTCATTTCAGTGTGGGAAAATTCTACTACCAGTCCTTCATCACCTTAGACGAAATAGGTTGAATATATCTCATATTACTGATCTAATGGTAGTCTCGAAACTCTAGTCTAATACAAGATGTTATGGTTTAAACGCATCAGTTTGCTGATTATGACAAGCCTGCTGCTAACCCAAAGCTAAGAGAGAATACCGAAATGAATAGATTATGAAAAACTGTGAATGTAATGAATGGAGGTGGGGAGTTGAATAAAAATTAACTATGCTTAATTAGCAGACTTAGGGAGGGAGGGGGGTTGAATCACCGAGACAAAGAAGGCAACTTAAGTGTTCAGCTCATTGATGATTATAACTACCTTAACATCCTTTCAACAGTTATTTTACTTTCATCCGCTCAGCCAGCTGTACAGGAGCCGGCTAGTACTCATGGCTTAGTGACAACTTAAAGCTTTGGCAAGAATGAGTTTCATCTCTGGCAATATCTCTCATGCGCATTGGCGAACGAAAGCTCAGCCCGTTTACCTCCGAAGCAAAAAAGGATGCCATGTAGATTGTGTCGACCCGAACATTTTAGTACATTTAAATGACTGCATGGCTTTTTGTCGACATCTAGCTACGAATCACTTCATCCGACTCTTTTGTACGAAATGAAAGTCAGCACAACAAAGTAACGCACTAAAATGTGAGGTTCCACTTCAGAAAATGTATTTGAGCCTTATGGATAGCAAGTATGGCTGGGGTGACTGGCCCTTTTGATTCACTGCTCGAGTGAAATGAATTTATAATGACTTATTGATCTGATGATTCATCCTATTCTAAAGAAGAGAAACCTGGGTTCGGATGACTTTATACAAGATTGGAGATAAATTTAGATGCACACATACTTGTTTGTTGCCTTGCGATGGTACTGACCTAAAGAGAGTTTTTTGCCATCGTCAAAGAAAACGCTAAAAGAATCCATAAATTTAAATCAAATGCTATTTTAAAAATATTGTTGTACCTCTACAGTATCTATTTTTAATATTGTAGACCTAATGTTATTAGCCTTAAGTAATTATGTCAAATTCTTTCATATTCTTGGCATTGTCTATGCAATAAAACTCTTCATTAAACAAACAATTTGGCCTTAGCCCGTTTTCAGGACCATTAGTCTTCCCTTTGTAAATACCGCACTACGGCACAACGCATTTTGTACTGAATTTTCACAGAACAGGAGTTTGAACAAGCAAAATTTTTTAAACTGACAAATATTGCACAAAATTCGTATATTACCTGAGCTATGAACCTACAATAGCATTATTACTAGTAATTACCTAGTCACCCCTATTCAAACTGGGAGGTTCGATAAGAAGTACAAATTTCATAATGCCAAAATGAGATAAAAGGAACAGCTGATTTAGCAGATGAATCTCACTCTACTAAAGCTCAGTTACCATTATGACCACTTGCGGGAGTTTAGCCGCGAAATTGAAGCTCTGGTCTTCCGTCAAATGACTCTATGGGAGTTGGGTAAGTATGATTGTTTAAAGATAATGATCACGTTTGTATCTTTGATAATGCAAGTTCAAAGTTAAAATGCACACGAGTGTTTCGATGAGAGTAAGACGAGGTTGAAAGTGTAGTCAGGATGCTAAATAGAATTACATGGTATAGTAAATTTAATATAATTTAATGTCAAAAAAATTTCTCCTAAACTGTGTACATCGTAAAAAGTTATTTAGTGAATTTGGCTGAAGAAAGCTGGGTTCTTGTAAAATTATCAGAATACGAAAAACTTACCCTGCCAGACATATGAGGAGTAAACTCGTAGTTGCACCAGAGCTTTTTAGGAGAATTCTGCGAGCGCCTGTCTACAATACGGGCCCATCGGAGTTTGGGACCAAGCTCCACGAGACCGCTGCTGTGTCGGCCTTCAGCTTTATGCGAAACAATCAAGCTGGGCACCTGACTATCGAGCTCACGCTTGGGTTCTCGCCACTGCCAAGAGGTTATAAGCTGCTTTGCGACCGCTGGGCATTCCAGTATCACCTGCATTTTTGGAGGGATTACATAGAATAGATTACTTTGATTGCAAAATAGCAAATTGTGTTGAAGGCCTATTACAGTATTCGAAAAAAACGAATGGCTAAAATCTCAAAGTCGACGAATCTGCACGAAATTACGAATACATTTCGGGATAAAATTTGTTCCTTAAGAATAGGTATTACAAGTTTGAAATAAAATTTAACTAAATATTTTAATAGCTGAATTATAAAGATATAATCTAAGAAGTGGGATAAACAGAGGGGGGAAATAGCCAATATGTAAAGACTCATCATTAATTTTGCTTGCTCATAAAAGCTCTCTAGAAAGGTAAAAAGATACTTGGAACCGCTTTGTACCAAAACAAAACATGAGGTTATGTGTATTATTTTCGGTTGCAGTGAAACTGCCTTAAGTTTTCATCTACTAAGCAATGCATTCGCGTGACTCGCCTCATCACATTTTCTGGCGTCATAGCTAATGAAGTCAGAAACAATTTACTTAATCAACGAATCATCGCGAAATAGCAACGTTTTAATTGTGGGAGAGATGATAAAGTAAGCACTACTTCGTTTTTTTCTCTAGTGAAGTCAATAGTATCGAAATTATTGCAAGTGATTTTACCTGATTTTCTCAACTTGGTCCTGTTGTCAGGACGACCTCTACCATAATAGCATGGATACTTTCCAGTACATTCCTATAAGTTTCTCCGACATCGATAGTGAACCTGACGATTCATAGTATCACAATAAAACGCGTCAGAGACAAGAGAATTCCACCATTTTACTATCTGGCTGCTAAGGGGTTATGTTATCACGCCTCATTTTTTCTTGATACATTCGCCTATCCCGTATCCTTGTATATCACCCATTTGATGCCATAGATTCTAACACAGTAAGTACCTTGCAGCGGATTTAGTGAAGCGTAATCATTCGGCATACCGGCGACCTCTTCTCAATCTTGGATTTTTTGAACAAGCTTGGAGACGTTCAAAGATTCAAGAATGTTTATTGTAATTACTTGAAAGTAAAAAATAGAGAAAATACATCTCTATTAGTATTTCACTACCCATGGTCATACCATCAATAAAGCCTCAACGAACCTTCAGCTTAAGCCTAAAGTTATGCTGAATCGGAGATCTAACTTTCGATAACCGTGCTTCTTAGCAAATGTTAAGTAAAATATGAGGTAAAAAATACATCTCATGTAAATCAATGATGTTGTAAACTATTAGAACAGGCAGTGAGGGTACTTGCCAATGAACGAATAAATGAATGCTCTTAATTCATTGTAAAAAAACTGAGCAACTTTTATTATTTTCTAGACCCATGCTTAATCAAGAAGGAGCTTTTATAATTAGAAACACAATAAATAAGTGAGTTTGCTTTTATATGCACCGCCACTAATGCTTTTTAGTAAAAATGAAAGCAATGGGGAATAGTCGGAATGGACATAAATTGACTTATAGTCGCTAGCATGCACGATGATCGCATTATCGTTATAATGTGTTTGACTGCCTA